GCTCTGATATTTATTTCAACAATTATCTAAAGAATTCAATGTCTGCGTGTGTGTGTGTGTGTGTGTGTGTGTGTGTGTGTGTGTGTGTGTGTGTGTGTGTGTGTGTGTGTGTGTGTGTGTTTACGTGTGGATAGTTGTGCAGCAAATATCGCTTGCTGGAGGAACTACAGATGGACCACTGGTCCAGTTGCAAACATCTTTGATAGTCCATTGTTGTGTCGTTTGATGATCTGTATGTACCATTGGGCTCGCTCGCTTTAGGTCTCCACATCCCTCGTCATCACCTGCGATCAGGTCAAGGGATTAGTAGGTACCAGTCATGGGGCTAGTAACAAGGAATGTAGATGGTTGTTGGTTGGCCGCATGCACGCATAACCTTGGATTGGTCTTGCATTCTTGCGAGGTAACCAAATTCCTCGTCATCCCCACTGACTGAACCGTGACTGTTCGCATAACCAATGACTGGCTCGTCATGTACGACGGATTCTGTTGGCCTAGCAACACGTATAGATGACCAAGGATTGTCCTGGTCTTCTTATGGTGCTCAAATCCCTCATCCTCATCCACAATTAATATATTTATTTGTGGATATTATAATCATATTGCACACTATTAATGACGGGGTGTACAGAGATGGTTTGGGGCTGGCAGAGCCACACATGCATATAGATGACGTATTGTTCTTGCATTCTTGCTAGGTATCCAATTCATCCCCGTTATCCTCCCTGTACATACACATAAAATGTGTATGCTGTGTTTCTTGCTAAGTTGTTATCTATATTTATATTTAATTCCCTTTTTGTGTTGCTAATTATGAGCAACGAGGTGTGCAGATGGTTGGTGGTTGGCTAAGCCACAGCAGGTACGGATAATCTTCCTATTTGTACGATTGGGTTTGCATGCAACAAAAGGCTCGTCAGGTGTACGTGTGATTCGTTCTGCTGTACAAACTCGTTAGTTATGAGTATGATGATGGGTATGGGGTGTATGCATAGCTCCTCGTCCTCAGCTACGATCTGCTTCCTCACCTTTTGTTGTCATTGGCACTTCCTGTCTCCTCCTTAGTTACGAGTTACTATGGCGGCAAGGGTGTCCTCCTTAGTTACGAGGGCACTCCTCTCTCTTACCTGTCCTTAGGCTCGCCCTCTTATGTGACTCAGTGTAGTCATGAGGGATTGGCTGCATGCATGCAATCAGAGTCTAAGTGTTGATGTATTATGTTAATATATATATATTATATATTGTATTATATATAAAAAATGTATATAAAAGGTATAATATATACATCTATTGTATTATATATAGTAAATATATAAATAATATGTATATAAAATATATATACTATATTATATTATACAATAAATATGTATAAACCCTCATGGCTAGCAGAAGACATACTTTTCTTGTTTTTTATCAATATAAATAAAAAAATACATTTAATTATTTATAATTTATAAATACAAACAATTTAGCTGAATAAATACATTTAATTATTTATAATTTATAAATAAAAACAATAAAATAAATAAATTTTTTTTTTTTCTCTCGTAAGACTGCCACGCATGCATACAACGATTGGCTGCAGCAGCTGTTGGCTGCCCTCCTTCCCTCTTTTATTTTTTTGCCTTTTTATTAATTATATAATAAAAAATAAACAATTAAATAAATTAAATAAATATATATTTTATATAAATATTCATTAATATTCAATTAATAAAGAAATATTAGCTCGTTTTGCTGCCAACAACTTGCAGCAGCAACAGCAGCAGCAGCAGCAGCAACTGCAGCAGAAGCAGGATAATTCAATTCAATAAATTAAATTCATCAATAAAAAGATTTAATTTTTATTTTTATTTTTTAAATTTAATTTATTTTATTTATTATTTGGGTGTACATACACCACAATCCTTTCTTTTTCTTCTTTTTCCTTGTTTTTCCTCTTCTTCTTCTCCCTCCCCTAGCTGCATGCATAATTATATAAATTATTTATTTATATATTTATATAATAATTATATAAAGAAATGACGTTTTCTTTTCTATTAAGAAATTCTTTTCTTCTTTTTTCTTCTTCTTATAAACAATTAAATAATAATATAACATTTTCTTCCTCCCTTAATACACGATTGCTCCCTCCTGTGTCTACACGTTGTTGTTCTTCCCCCCCCTTGTCCCCCCATTCTTGCTGCACTATTCCTCAGCAACAGCAGCAGCAGCAACAGCAACAGCACCGTCTACTGCAGCAGCAGCAGCAACAACAACAACAACAGCAGCATCGAGGTGTATCTTCTATAACCCCTATTCGTTCCCTCTACACATCTGCCGGTCTCTTCCCCTCCTCTCCTGGCTCTCAACTACACAGCAGCAGCAGCAGCAACAGCAGCAGCAGCAGCAGCAGCAGCAGCAGCAATTTATTATCAGACCGTAAGAGGAAGATAATGAATGGTACTGAGTACATAAGACGTAAGACAGGCTATAGAGGAAGAATAAGGAGAGGGCGTCAGGCTCCTTGTTAATAAATAAATAAATAAATAAAATAAATAAATAAATAAATAAACAAATAAATAAATAAAATAAATAAATATAAATAAATAAATAAATAAATTAGTTATATACAGCAGCAAAATAATCCCTTATTTTCTCATATTTCCTTATGTCTTGCAAAGACACGGAGGGAATTGTCTCCTTTGCTGCTGCTGCTAGGTGTCTCCTTAATAAATAATTAATATAAATAAAGGGGGGAGGGGGCCCCCTTGCTGCACCTAATAGGGTAATATTCGTACATATGCAGCAGCTGGGGGCCCCCATAGGGGCCCCCAACTCACCTTTTGTTAACCATACTGCTGCCTTGTACCCAGAAAGTAATGCAGCGCATGCAACCTGCTGCTCCATGGCCTGCTGCAGTTGCTGCTGGTGCTGCTGCTGCTGCGGGGGATCCAGGTGTATGGTGAGGGTCATTGATGCTGCAGCATCTGCTGCTTCTGCTGCATCTCCTGCTGCAGTTGCTGCTTCTATTGCTGCTTCTGCTGCTGCAGCAGGTAGGGTGCTAACTACCCATAGATGGCAGCAGCAATCTGCATGCATTGCTGCTGCTTCTTCTTTATTATTTATTGGGGTGTACGTACACCCCATCCATACCTGCATGCATGCATCTTTTCCTTTTTCTTTTATTTTTTTATTAACTAATAAACGTAATATAATATTAAATGACTCTTTTCCTTCATCTTCTGCAGCTGTTTCTTCTGCTGCTGCTGCTTCTTCTGCTGCTGCTGCTGCTTTATTTATCAGCAGCACTGAGGTGTACGTACACCCCAAAGGGGGAGAAGAATAATCTAATAAAGAACAATTCTTTATAAATAAATCCTCTAATACATCAGCAGTAACACATAAGGACCCTGAGTATATAACATATAATAATAATAATATATATATAAATAAATAAATAACAGCAGAGCACCAATGGCAGCAGCAGCACCGATAGCAGCAGCAGCAGCAGCAGCAGCAGCAGCAGCAGCAGGAGTACTTACTCTCAATAGATTGAATAAATATAATTTTTTCTTTAATAGAAAGAAGTGTTGCTTTATTACATAAAGATTTTATATCCGCTCCTGTTGTCCCAGGGTGTATATACACCTCAATTTCCTTAAGAATTTCTTCTTGCTGCTGCTGCTGCTGCTGCTGCTGTTGCTGTAGTTGGTGTAAGGAGAGAGGGGCCTCCTTATATATTAATGTATGCTGCAGCATTGCATGCAGCAGCGGCAACTTTTGCTGCTGCAGCCCCACGTACACTAGACGATCTAATCTTCCTGCTCTTAATGCAGCAACATCTAATAACTCTACACGATTTGTTGCTCCTATTATAAATACCTACAGACACAGCAGCAGCAGCAGCAGCAGCAGCAGCAGCAGCGGCAGCAGCAAGAGCAGCAGCAGCAGTGCATAAATGCATGTATATACATGCATGCATGCATATAGGTATAAATGCATGCACCTATGCAGGGGAATGCTGGTGGATACTACAGTAGTGTTTCTGCTGCTGCTGCTGCTTCTCTTGCTGCTGCTGCTGCTGCTGCTGCAGTATACCTTAGGTGGTAATGAGTCCATCTCTGATAAGACCTGTGCAACAACTCGATCAAGAACTCCCCCTGAATCAGAAGACCTTCCTCTTCTTGGTAGCTGCAGCAGAATGCACGCAACAGGGATACGTGCTGCTGCTGCTGCTGCTGCTGTTGCTGCTGCTGCTGCTAAGGAACAACAGCTGGAGGAGGAGGAGGAGTAGCAGCAGCAGCATTGGAACAGCAAGGAATAAAGAAAACTCTCCGTCAGTAGAGTACAAAATCACTAAACCCTAAACCCTAAACCCTAAACCCTAAACCCTTACGAGTGCATCGATCTCATCAAAGAAGAGAACACAAGGCTGACAAGCACGAGCCTTAGCAAAGAGATCTCTTACGTTCTTCTCGCTCTCTCCTATATACCTGCAGTGTACAGACACCGTATATGCATGCATGCAAGCATGCATATATGCATATATATGCATGCACGCATATATGCATGCATGGTACCCTTTGCCCATGATGCGCAGACTGATAAACCCCCAAACATAAACCCTAAACCCTTTCGCATACTCCCTACACCCTAAACCCTAAACCCTAAACCCTTATGAATAGTGTTTAATAATATTTGTTGAGTAGCTCGGGTCCCTTAACAGTAATAAAGTTAACAATTATGAATAGACGAAATAAGGGTTTAGGGTTTAGGGTTTATAAGTGCTTGTTAAGTAATTCAGGTTCCTTAACAGCAATAATGTTGAGAATAATTATTAGGGTTTAGGGTTTAGGGTTTCTGAATACTTATTAAGTAATTCAGGTTCCTTAACAGCAATAAAGTTGAGAATAATTATTAGGGTTTAGGGTTTAGGGTTTATGAGTACTTATTAAGTAATTCAGGTCCCTAAACAGCAATAATGTTGAGAATAATTATTAGGGTTTAGGGTTTAGGGTTTATGAGTACTTATTAAGTAATTCAGGTCCCTTAACAGCAAGAAAGTTGACGTCACATTCAGTTGCTACTGCCTTAGCTAAGAGTGTCTTCCCTGTACCAGGGGGACCAAATAGGAGACACCCTCCTCTTACACGGACACCTGCACAGCAGCAGCAGCAGCAGACAGCAGCAGCAGCAGCAGTAGCAGCAGCAGACAGCACAACAGCAACATACAACTCCGTACACACTACATAACACCACGAGAACACACGCAGCAGCTAGCTGGTACTATCCTTACTGGTTATCTAGCTGCCTGTTCAGCTATCTACATAGCTAGCTAGCTAGCTAGCTAGCTCTCTGCTTAGCTGGATAGCTAGCTAGGTAGGTAGCTAGGTAGCTAGCTAGCTAGCTAGTATATTTACCATCAAATAGATGAGGATACTTAAGAGGAAGAGAAATAAATTGTTGAATTTCTTCTTTTGCTTTCTGCATTCCTCCAACTTCTTCCCAACGAACGGGAGGAATACGAGATACAGGAATTCCACCCTCTATACACATAAACCCTAAACCCTAAACCCTAAACCCTAAACCCTAAACCCTAAACCCTAAACCCTAAACCCTAAACCACTAAATTCTAAACTCCAAATGCACGAATGCCCTGAGACCCTCACCGGAAATTGATTAACCTCAAACCCTAAACCCTAAACCCTAAACCCTTGAGGCCCGTAGTATGGTACTAAGGGAGGAAGACTGACCAGCTAAGAAGGGTTTTACCAAATTTCTTATTGCTGCAAACCCTCACAAGACACGGGACAGATAGAACAGGCATCTGCAGAGGAGGGTTTAGGGTTAAGCGTTTAGGGTTTGAGGAGAGCTAAGCATCAGGGATTAGGGATTAGGGTTTAGGGTTTAGGGTTTACCCTTGGGTGAGAGATGTAAGAGTTGACTAAGGACTATTAGTCTGTTGTCTGTCTCCTCTGTTGTCTCCTTCTTAGGCAAAATACGTAAACAGGTGTCTCTGCTGCGTTCTGCTGCTGTTGCTGCTTTTGCTGCTGCTGCTGTTGCTGCTGCATCAAGGAGACTGCAGAAAAGACGCTGCGCTTCCGCCAGGGACAGACCACTGGTCAGCCTGCAGCAGCAGCAGCAGCAGCAAGACACCCACAGCTAGACCCTGTATCCGTGCATGCATTCAGGTGTACATATACATTAGCAGCAGCAGCAGCAGCAGCAGCAGCAGAGGGTGTGTCTCCTTACCCAGCAAATTCTTTTGCTGCTTTTTTTTCTGTCTCTTTATCATTAAATATAAATCCTTTAGAGACATTATTTAGACGATTAAATACCTAAAAAAAAAAGAAGAAAAAAAAAATTATTTTGTCTCCTTTTGTCTCCTGCTTGTCTCCTTTTGTCTCCTTTTTGTCTCCTTTTTGTCTCCTTTTTTTACCCTACTTATCTTTTTATCCCCTTTTATCATTAATATATCTACCTGTCTCCTTTTTTATCCTTTATATATATATATATATATATATATATATATATATA